CTTCAGTTTTTCTACCCACCATTTGTGGTGCTCCATCTGTTGCCAGACCCACAGTTAGTGTTCAATCTACAGGGTACACCTAACTCTTTCAGTGCTCCCACCAAACTAACAAAGATGTCATCACCTGTTGCTTTGTCTTTCATTGGGACCAGTTCCACAAACTCTTCTATTAGGTGCATATTTTCATCCACACCATGCATGAAAACTGCAAGTTGTACCACATCAGTTTAATCAGTACAGTATTTTCATCAATTGAAACAGAAAATGCAATAAGGTTCTCAACTTTGTTCTTGAGTTGACTGCTAAGGTTCTCTGATGTATCACTTCATCTCTGTAACTTGAGGGGCTTATATTTGCAAAAAGTTGACATTTTTAGAGATTTATTACTTCTGCTGTCATCACCATACTGTACAGTACATTTCTTTATAAAATCCCCTTCTGAATAAGGTTTTGATGATAGCTATTTCATGGGCAATCATGTAACTTGCCTTAACGGCAGTGTCACTTACTTGATTATTTTTAAAGACTGACTGTTGCTTTTTCAATAACTAGTCTAACCTGATAACTTGGTCCTCGAGTAAATTCCCATATATTTACCACACTTCACAAAATAGTCAGTGTCATAGTGCTTCTGAACATTGTATACTTTAGCAACAGCTACCTGATGCTCTCAAATGAAATGTGTTGGTTTTCCATTTATTGTACTTCAGCATTGCATTCTTTCACTATTGTTTTCTCATAATATACAGTGTGGTATCCCCATTAACAGAAACAATTGGTGCAGAGCTCTTCAGGAGATGAGAGATTTCTAGGTAACAACAAGAGTCTCAAACTCGGGAAAATCCCACATCCCGGAAATTTTCCACGTATACTGCACTGTAATGGGAAACGATTCCTTGAGTCTAAACTACCGGGTATGCATCTCACGGCAGACACTATTGTACATAGCCGGAATGTTTCTTGGTGCTGGAGAAAGTTTTCCGAGTCTAAACTATGTATCTCATCACACACAGACGAACATTTTCCTAATACTGTACATTTATGCCGCAGGCATGAGCAAAATATTTATGACTAGTGAAAAAGTGTTTACTCTTTTATTCACAGCATCAGTTCTAATTGTGTTAATAGAGAAGAATTTGGTACCATAATGATCCTGAATAAATTTTCTACAAGACTGTTCCAATAAAAGATCCTAAACAAAATGCACAATATAATGATAGGGGGCTCGATTATTTTATTTATTTATTTTTTTTAAGAAATGTTGATACCAAAGTCTATAAAATCAGTTCTAATTAAGTTAAACAACATTTTCTCTCCCAAATAATCCTCAATATCTTATCAAAAAGTTTGGTTAAATAAATATACTTAATATATGATACAGGTGTGCAAAGCATGAATGGAGCCGAGTGTCACGCCAATATATACAGTAGTGGAATTTTCGCCCCTGCAGTAGGGAAAGTTCCCGTAGTCTAAAATACGTATCTCGCACGGAGCTGTATTTATTTATGCAAACACTTCTGTACTGGTATTGTAAATTAACAAAATAATGTATGGAGTACAACTACTGTACTGTACTCACCAGCAGATATTGTCATCTTGAGTCTACAGTAGGGATACACTGTCCATGCTGCTGAATGTAATATCTGGTACGTAACTGTAATCACTTTTTATGTCTTAACACTTACGATGGAGGTGGGGCAGGGAATTAGTGGGTCTCATGCTGTATATAAGCTTTTCTCTCATTTGCGGTGGAGGTGGGGTGGGGGCTTAGTGCTCTCACGTTACTGACCTCCTGATGAAATGTCAGGTCACCCAACGTCGGGGTGAGGGATTAGTATTGAATAAAGTGTTGAATATGTCTTGAATAAAGAAAAAAAGCTAAGGTACTCTAATGATTCTCTTTTCTTGTACATATGGTACTCTCTCTCTTACTGAATGTACAGTACTGTATGTGTAACAGTAGTCACCCTTTATTTTAACAGAACAGTGCTGCAGAATGCAAATTTACGCAAAAACAGCAGTGAGCAAGGGATCAACCTGGTACAATGGTAGAGGACTATGAACTAAGTGCATCATGATGCTAAGCTTAGAAGGAATAAGCTGGCAGATGCATCAGCCTATTACAGGCATCGCATGCAGGCATATGACAATACAGTACGGTATTAGCCAATCGCAGGGTGCGAGTGTACAACCCAAGTTACCCAAGCAGGGAAAAGCTTTCCTACCCACCTGGGCCGATTTCTATTCCGGCTATTGGAAAATTCTGGAGACCAGGGATTCTGGCTGGATATTTAGAATATTGAAGCTCTGCATAGAGGCAGGTTGAGATGGTTTGGGCATGCAGGCAAAATAGACGAGACTAATTTGGTCAAGAGGTGTATGAGCCTAAATGTGGAGGGGAGGGGAGCCAGGGGTAGACTAAGAATGACATGGGAGAGTTTGTAAGAAATAGTATCAAGAGTTGGTAACCTGACAAGAAAGATTGCAAGAGACCGTGCAG